ACACTTGGGCACTCTAGGGATTTAAATGCCTGTGGAGTTAGTTGATACCTTGTAGTTTAGGTGAATGGAGGCTTTAAATATTTCGGTGATGCTTGAGTGGAGGACTTAGGCCCTGAACGAGACAGAGGTACTTAAGTGCTGTAAAGACCAGGGAATAAATTCCGAGCAGTGGGAACTGTTGTATTTCAAGGTTCATACAGCACTAAGAACAGTACTGGGACTTTAGTGGAGTAGATATAAGAGTAATAAAATGGACAATTAAACTGGTCTCGTTAGAGGATATGTTCCCACTTTCACATGTCAGCCCAGTACCTTGTGGTCCCAATGCTTGTTACTCATAATGAAAAATTTCAGTGCAAAACTCAGATCCCATGTTGCAGATGAACAAAATTACTTCAGATCATTACGAATTTCCCTGCTTGATGATTACACAAGAACAGGACAGAGCCCTTAGGATGCTCACTTGGAGTTCTCTTGGATTTATGCAGCTGGTTGTGAAAACCTGCTGTAGTCAGAGTGACTGGAATTGGTTTGTGCATTTATGAAGGACACGTGGAACAGCATGCAGGGCCCTACCAGGAGAAAACTACTGGCCAGGGGACTATTTTAGTAGCCTTCTGGGATGGCTTCATACAGGAGTATGGGGTGGGAGACCCCTCTACCTAAGACTGCTAAGAGGAAACCACCAAGTGAGATGAGCCCAATATTTCAAAGGGAAATTATTTTACAAGAAACTGGCATGAGCCGACGAACAGCTGGCCTAATGTTTCAAGGCATGAGCCACTGGTTGGGCTTAATTTGAGGATATATCTAGTTCAGGGTAATGACTGTGACTGCATCTGTACCCAAGCCTTGAGTGTCGGGCATGTAGAGCCTTGCCTAGAGTCCTTCATGGCAGAAATTCTATGCTCCACAAAGAGCTGCTCTCAGAAGAGAAGCAGCCCTGATTGTTGCGTGCCTTTTCTAGCACTAGCCCCCGCATCGTTACTGCTGTCCGCTAATTTGTGTTCTTACTGCACTAGCTCCCAGAGGCCCCTCAGGGGCAGGACCTCCCTGCATGAGGGGCTCTGCAAACCCCTGCATGGCCTCAGGATCTCACTGTTATGGGGTTTTCTTCAAAGTGCCACAATAAGGAGGGGAAACTTTTCAATGCTTTTGGTGGAGGCTGGGTTATGCTCAAGGCAAAGGTGTGTCAGTGTACTTGGCTCCTTCTCATGTCATTGTGTCCAGCAGTCATAGGGTCCCGCAGAACAATTGATCACCCACCTTTGGGGAACAACTGCCCGTGGCCACAGTTCCAACAGAGACTGTCGCAGTGCTCAGTGGGAGCAAACTTGTGTACAGTACTCAAATAACAGCAGTGTCCAGCACAACACTTCATTAGAGATGGAATAAGGGATTGTTCAAGGGCTTTTGAAGGAGCTAATGAGGGTTGGCATTCAGATCAGCTTATTGCTAGCTCTTGATTTGCTGCTCTGGGTAAGCTGCTGCTTGTGGTAACTCTTGTTTCATGGTTGAGCAGCTCATCTCTGCTGAGAAGCAGCCATAGCAGGAGCTTTCGATAGGGGCATTGAACTTTTAAGATCTTCCAAATGAAAGCTGAGGGAAGAACTTGTAAAAAGAGCATCATTGTGGGTGACGCTTTTCATGTTACATCTTTTGTCTGTGGTCCTTGCCATGCACAGTAAATGTTTGAGCAAGCAAGTTTGCTGGCTCGGAAATTTCTCAAAACATTAAGTTAGGCAGTAAGAGAAAAGAGATTTTGGATGTGTAATCTCGCTTGGATCACTGTGCAGAAAGATACAGGAGCACTTCTTGTGAGTTGTGTGTCTAACCTAAGCGGCTTTGACACCAAGAACGTAGAAAAGTGGGGAGAGATGCAACTAGTCACACAGGGATCTGCCTCATGGTTCTCTCACAGGCCTGGCGAGACTGTCCAGTTCCACTGGGTGATGGCTTTTTACTGGGTGTAAAAACTTTGTGCTACAGATGCCTTATAGCCCTGTAAGCTGAAATCCACTGGCCAAGAATCCCCAAACAACTGTCATCGCTCCAGTTTCATTTTATCCTCACAACAAGCCTCAGGCTGGTGAGATATTTGGTTGAACCTCCACAGTGCCTCCATTCCTGATGGGCTTTGTAGGGTTGTTGGCATCAGCATGCTTCACATGACGCTACTGTATGTTTGCTGCACTGGGAAGCCACCAGAGAAACGGCTTGTTAATTGGGAGAGAAAGTAATGATAGCATTAAATAATCTCTGTTTTCATTTACTGGGTGCTAATGATCCAAAGAAGTTGAAAATCCCAGAGGATGCATTTCCTTTTGATTAACCTAGCAGAAGGATGACAAGAAGTACAGTTACTGTCTACTGAAACATCACCAGGGCCTGGAGCCGTTCAAATGCAGCTGTGTTCCATTTTTATCTCTTTGGAAAGCCATTTTCTAACACTTTTTTTTCACTCAGCAGTGAACCACTTCCACTGTTCTCTGCACAGACAATGGCTCCAGCTTGTTTTCCATGCCTCCCTCAGCAGTGGCAGAGGTGAATTGTGCACACACAGCCCTTCACCCAGGCTGCAGATGAATTGCTCTGCTGTTATTGTTCCAGTTACAGTGGTCTCAGTGCAGGGGAGAAAGAGGTGGCCCTACATAGCTCTATACTTGGTGTTTTCCCATATCATGTAGCTGGCCTAAATTAGGAACTATGCCCTGAATTTAGGCAATTAAGACTTTGGGGGCCATGGTGGTACCATAAGTAATGCCCTTCCTAATTACGCTTTATAGCATGCTAGCGTTTAGGTAGGACAGCCTGGCAGAGGAACAACTGAGGCATGGGGAGCTTGGCTTTGTGTTGGCAGGGTAAGTCAGTGGCAGCGGCAGCCTTCTATCCCAGCTACATGATACGCTCATTTTCTGGTACTTCCTGCTTTCTCTTGGGCATTTTTAATACCTTAAGCAATGGGGCATGTTCAGCTTCATTTAGGAGGTGATCTTAACCAGCTAAAACTGCCACTGGCATATTTCTTAGATATTCATCCTATGCAATGAGACCAAAGAAAATACACCTTAATCCTTGCTTTATGACCTAGTCCCACTGGGAATGATACCTCCATTTTTTGTCTTAAAGCACACAGTCCAAATAGACCTACATTTGTATTTTTAAGGCTATTTAGTGCCTGCCTTTCATTGAAAGTAATGGGAATTAGGCTCTAAAAACCCTCTAAGTACCTTCATTCCTTGACCTTAAGCTGTCTCTGTGAATTTATCTAGACTAACAAAAAGGGTGAAAGCCAGAAGTGGGTTAACTGTCTCAGCTAACTCCAGCCTTCCTGAAATCAATTGCTTTACTCCAGATGAAAGCTTTGACAGCTTTTGAGCAGAGTTAAATCTCTTGGGCAGGGGGTGGAGCAGGACAGGGCCTTGCTGCAATATGAACAATTCCTATTGAAATTTGCTTGAGGATAGCATTTTATCTGATTGTAGGTTTGATTGATAGGAAGGTACCTAAAGTCCTTGTACAGGCATTCTTTGTTATTTGTTTTAAGCTTGCAGAACACATTAATAGGCACCTGCCTTTGCTTCTTCCATCGAGTGCAGAGGCATTTTTCCTTCTGTAATAATTTAACTGAACTGTGCCTGTGATTGATCCTTCTGGCTGCACTTAGCGACCATGTCGTCCTGTTTGCAGAGTTTTAGAGACACTTATGAGTGGATTTTCAAAAGCAGTTCACGTTGGCATCCCTCTGTACTTACTGACGTTTATAGGAATTTTACTGCTGGCTTAATATCCTGACATCTTATTCTAAGGTATGCTCTGCAAAATCCCCTTACCTCTTGCTCAGGCCATGAGAAACAGGCTAACACGTTTAAGGAAGCCCAAGCCCTGTATGGTGAATGAAGTCTCTGTCAGAAGGTCTCTGTAGAGTTCTGAAGTGAAAGCAACCAAACCACTCAGGAAATGGACTGCAAGGTCTGAAGCTGAGAACTGCCATGTTTTGCTCTAGCACTAACCTGAAGGGCTCAGCATAAACTTCCTTTACCCTTGTATACCTTGCGCACCATAACACTGCCTACAACCCCACCAGTCCCCTGGGATGTGCATTTGCTGAAATGAGCACGGCAGATAGTTTCTGGATAATGGCATCCCTGAATATGGGTTATGCTATAGCCTCAGGCTTCCAGAGGTGCTGCAAGTGCTATAGGTACCTCACCAACACTACAAATGCAGGCAATTTAGCTACAATAGCAGTTGTTTCCACTACTTTATTTCCTTCCTTTCCCAATGTGTGGCAGATCTGGAAGTATTTGACAAGTTGTGGCTCAGAATTACTTATGGATATATCATAAAATCGTATCTACCCCTTTCTAGGAATCAAAATCTTGCAGACTGGTGGGAAGTGCTACAGATTGGGGTTACACACCAGTCTCCAGTATCATTAGCCTGATGCCTCCCCTTAAATCCAGGTACCTTTGTATTAGAACGGACCAAACTATTCTACCCCCCATTTTTTCATCAAACGTGTGAAACGCTGCTGCTGCTGCAGCGGCTGTGCTGTGTTCAATGGGAACAACTCCAATGTGTTGTGCTGGGTCCAATGGCAGTGGGCACGGTGAGAGACGTGCGTCTGCTGCCGTGCTCATACAGCCATGGGGAGAGCAGCTGCTGGGGTGGAGTTATGTTCCTTCTGTTATGCTGACAGTGTTTTTCCTCCCGTGTTTGGACTTCATGGCCGTTATTTTGATAGAATGTGGAAAATGCATAGCTTAAATGTATTTTTATGTTGTTCTAACACCACCCGACAAACAGTTTCTTACGCAGGAACAGCTGTAGGCAGAGAATGCCAGAGATCGGTGGCTGTCACTTGCACTAGTGGTGTTATTTTTCCCTGCAGGTTCCTGATGCTGCAGGGGAACCCACCAGCAGCTGTAGCAGGCCCAGCGACCAGCAGCACATCAAGTAGACTCTCATCTGCAAAGAGCCCATCACCTCCCCCTGCTATGGCAACACAACATGATTTCGCAGCAGGTAAAGGGCTGCAAGCAGACTGGAGACTTCTTCGGCCAGGGCTTGTTGCAGTCCTGTTCCTGCAGCCTTTGCCTGAAGGATGTTCGCCTGCAGCAGCAGTGCCGGTGCCCAGGAATGCTGCTCGGCTCAGGGAGGCAGAGCGTGTACAAAAGCTGCATTCACAGCGCTGATCACGAGACCCCGGAGATACTGGCAAGTGCAGCAGCTATTCTTCATGCTGTACAAGTGAGAGCCCAGCCTTAGAGGCTGAGTAATGGGGAAGATACTGGCCAGGAGAGGGGGCAGGAAAACACGCTGTGTATAATTCTGAATTTTCAGGAACAGCCAAGATCAGAAATTTTTTGAGGCAAGCCATGTTTATGTTGGTTTTGGATGTCTCTGCAGTAAAGCAAGCAGGGAATAAACTCATTTAACAGTGAAGCAGAACAAAAGAGAATGTTTGGATGGACTATTTGCATACTAACAATATCGTAGTCAAATAAGCCTGCTGAATACTGGGGACATGTAAAGCAGAATGCAGACCTCCTTTTAGTTATAACACCTAGTGATTAATTGTTTATGTCTCCATACTTTCTTTGTTGTGAAGAGAAATAAAAAACCTGACAAAACCCAACCCAAAATTGAATGGAAATTACAGAAACAAAGGACTTTCAGATGAGCTTTGGAAAGCATGTACTTACCAGACATTGTCAGATTCTAGAGACTATCCTGGGTTTTCTGCTCTTAGAAAGAAGAGGAAAGAAATCCTGTAGTTGTGGATGGGCGACTAGCAAAACACATTCAAATTTTATAGAATTTCAGCTGTCCAAGTGCTAGAAGGCAAGTGCCTCACCGGGCAGAACAGTGTAAGGGCAAACAGATGGTTGCAGAGGCCAGGACTGTGGGTCACTACTGCTGCGTTAGTCTGCTGCGGACAAGGGGATGTCTGCTTTTTCCTCTCCATATCAAATGCTGCGAATTTGAGTCATTTGTACTGTCCTTATTTTAAAGCTAAGTACCATGCCTCAGTTGCTGTCTACTGTGGGAGTGTTCCCAGATTCAAACCCCGATACACAGCTCTGCGAGGCGGAAGCATTGATTCGAACTTTCAGTTTTGTGGCAGCAGCTGGACCACTGAAGGAGAAGGTGAGGATGAAAAGGAGTTGAATATGCAATGGTGGCCCCAGCCAAATGGGAAAACGATCCTGATTTCAGGGAGAAATGGTCCCTTGGAGGTCAATCCTCATGTGCTGGCTCTGTGTCAAAGTAGGGCGTGGCAGAGAGTCGCAGATGATCCTGCCCTCCTCCAGTGGTGCACATGGCATCACGTCTCTCTGTCATTAGTTCATTATGCTTTCTCCTTTATCAACAGTAGCCAAATCACTGCTACTGCCAGCCAGGCCAGGGCCTGTGGCCAAACTGGCCATAAATCAGGCATGGTAACAACATGTGAGCTCTGTTTCTATCCTTGCTATCAATGTGTGATCTTGCCAAAGGTAAATTCCCAGTTCTTCCTCTGCTTGCCCATCAGATCTGACCTTGAGGATGGGAAGGTGCTGTAGAAATACTGACAAGGCCTGCCTGATTGCTGAGACATCTTTCTGCTTTCCAGAAATACCAGTAACACCGTGTGGCTCTTTACTGGTAGTTTTTACAGAAGCCATGCCCTGAAATGGGCATTTTTTTTCTCTCTTACCAGTGGGGCCTTCAGCCTCTCTCTCCTGGCTTTCTAGCTCAGTGCTGTTCAGGAGAATTAAACTGATGCTAGTTTTATGAAAAATAAAACCAAACCGATCTTCTGAATGACTAAAAAACCCTTGAATGCCTCACTCATTACATGGGTTTATTGTAAATGTGTGAGGTCAACTAACTCATTTCTTCCCTTTTACCTTATCTACAGCTTCTTTTCAGTCCCTATTAACAACACACACGAAGAAGCAGACAAGTTTGTGGGATGGGAATGGAGTTGGGAAACCTCCACACCCAAGGGCCATCTCTCTCCCGGATGTCAGGGTCAGCAGGGATATTGTGCATGACCTCAACACTGGGGATGGAGGTGGTCTCTCCCACATTTCTCACCACATCTTGACCTGGGACCAAGAAAGGGTGAGCAGCGCTGCCCTGCCAGCCATCTGGATCAAGGACAAGCTGAAGATGAGGAGCATGTCTGAGGGTCTGTTAGCCTCACAGAGAGGTAAGGCGAGAGCCGGTCCACTCTCTTGCTGGAAGAAGGGTCTTTTCCCAGCCTAGAGAGCCAGCACACATTCTCAGTGAACAGTTCTCCCTCGCATGTGCCCCACTGTGATAACCTGCCCTGCTCTCAGTCCCTGCATAGCCCTCCTGTCATTGTAGGGGTGTACAACCATGGGGCAGGGAGAGGGATGTATGGCAGGTGACTTATTCTGGGTAAGCACAGGTCCGTGGGCTCCCTGTTGTCTGACCAGAGTGTTCCTCTGTGGCTCTGTGGAAGTGGGTAAGTGTTGTCCACTGACTTGCTTCCAGTGGCTGCCAGCATGAGCATGTTACCCTGTGCAGTTTCCAAGGAATCTGTCCAATGAACTATCTACCTTCAGGTGCTTTAGGTTTGCAGTGCTGCTTCCATTATGCTTTGTGTCTCCACTTTGCAGGCCTGACTGAGTGCAGTGACCTGCAGGGGGTTGCCCTGAAGCCAGCAGTTTGCAGGTCAGCTTCCCAGAGGCTCCTGGCAACCTCCAAGCCCATGCCTCCCATCCAGAACTGCCTTCCCTTCTCAGAGCCCAGCAGGATGAACAACGGAGAGCAGAAGCATGGGGAAAACAGCACAGGCTGTGATGACAGTGATGGGAATAACAAGGAGCTGATGTCAGAGGGAAAAGGATATAAAGTAAGGAAACCAAACCAAATCACGTGTGGTGGACCCTCAGTTTATTTCCTATATGCAGAGCTCTGAGATCTTCTTTCCCTGTGGTGTGAGCCCAGGGAAGCAGCTGAGCCAAGGAAGAGCTCGGCTGGACATTGTTCTTCAGGCTGTCTTTGCAATGTGTGTACTGCAAGGCTTCATGTCCTCAGGGTGTATCCGTAGGGGTAGAGGTCTTTAAATAGTTTCTGTGCTCTCTATTGGCTCCTGCTGTGTTTTATCACTGAGAACGTACCAGCAACCAGTCAGAGCAGCTGAATGTGTCTGATCTGGTCAAGCGTGTCTTTCTCCAGTGAGTAAAATACACGTATCTGTGAACCATCTGTACGTTGTGGTTATTGTTTCAGACACGCTAGTTTCTTGGTGAAGTTTTTATATCGGCTCCGTGTGGTTTAGATGGAAAAAAATGTTTGCTGGAGCAAGCAGTCCTGGTTGTCCAGGTTGTCTCAGCTTTTGAGTTGTACAGCCATGTCCTTCTGCGCGGTTATCTCTGATAATATTTCTAGCGTTCAGCAGCCACCGTGCAGCTTCATTCTCTCCCATGGGTCTGCCCAGGGGTAAGTGATGGGAACCAGAAATTCTGGCCATGGGAAATGGAGTCCAGATGCCATCCACTCCCTTGCCTTTGCAGGAGGGACAGAAGCTGTGGTTGTTTAGGTTTTGCCGTGGTGGGCAGAAGAAGGCAGATGAATAACAGCTTTTTTAAACAGGGTAACCAATAAAAGGCTAGTGTACTTGATTTCAGCCTTGCACATACAGGGCCAAAAGTATCCATGGCATTAACTCTGTTGGTTTCCCTGGAGTTTGAACGGGTCCTGATTTGGCTCGCTATCTGTGACCAGAAAAATGGGAAACGGAGGAAGAGTGTGCGTCTGCCCTGGCTCTCTCCATCCCCCTTCCTAGCCATGGTGTGGGCAGTCTGAAGTAATTTCAGCAGGCAGAGACTTTACACAGAGCAGCAGGGTATGGAGCTCTGCTCGACTTAATAAATGACAGTGAGCCTGAGATGATGAACTGTGTGGGAGCTGGAGAGCACCGAGCATCCAGAGAGCACATTAGCATCTGGGCCAAAAGGCTGGCGGGGGCTGTAGGAAGGGCAGAAGCAGAAGAAATGATGGGCTTGAGAAAAGCATGTTTTGACAGCGTGCAAAATGACTTTGTGGGGACTTGGCTGGAGTTCATTAGTGGCTGGTAGGTGCTTTAGAGACAGTGATCTAAACCCATTCCTGTAGCACCAGAAAGGCTAACAGAGGCAATGGCACCCCAGAACATCTTTATGCCAAGCAGATGAATGCCAGATGGGAATGCAGCCACAGCCAAAGAGGTGATCAAGGCCAGAGAGCTGGCAACAGCGTGAGACACGGTCTATCCCTCACCAGTTCCATTTCCAATGTCCATTGTCGTGGATAGAGTGAGAGTGCATTTCACTTGCAGGACAGAAGTAACAATATATTTTATTAATATAGCAAAGTTAAAGGTAAATGCGACAGCGGTTTAACAAGACTCAGTGGCAAGGTACACGGGGTTATTTACTGCACAGGGGACAGGGTCAGACAAACCAGTCAGGGAGACCTTCCCATTGAGTCACGAGGTTCAGATAGGATCCCCTGGCTTTCTAAACTTCTCAGAGGGGAGTCTGGGTGCAGCTGGATCCAATCCTAGTCCCAGACTTGGCCAACAGTTATGTCTAAAGGATTATATATGTGCAATCAATCCTTTATATCACTTGGCCAAGATTACAAGGCTCAGCACGCTGTTAGTTGCTTACTGAGAGCCTGTTGCTGCAAGGAATCTCTCGACCTCCCGACTAACCTGGAAAGGCATCCATTCTCAATGGGAGATCCTGGTGTGCAGCCTGCTGCTGTGCAGAAGAGCTCAACAGGCCCTGGGCTGTCCAGTATGTATAGAGTAAGGTGATTGACTATAGCAGTATTTGCATACCAGCAAGGTGTCTGGGTCAATATCTTGGGCTTTGATGGTTGCACTCTCCTAAACAAATGGAATATACTGAGGCACTGTGTACTAATAAGGCAAAAGCTGTGGCCTTATTGTTGATGAGTTCATGAGTGAAATGGACTAAATACCACCAGGACTGGAATGATTTTTCAAATTTAGTTGCATTATTCCAAATTACCTTTCAAATTTCAGTGGGTAAGGTACCTACTTCCCCTTCTCTTACAATGCTGCTACCCTAGATTGCATCAAGGTGCATTGCATTGCCCCCCGGGGGAAAGCAAGCGCCTCTTTATCCTCCCCCTCCAAGGGAACCTGTGGCGAGGTGCAGCTGGGGGCGGCTGGCAGTTAGCCGGGGGCGGGGCTCGCGGGGGTCCGCGCCTAACGACCGTTGCTACCCTGCCACGCTCCCATTCTGGCTGGTTGTGTGAGGAGCGGGCGGCTGGCAACGGGTGCTGGAGGGAACCTGTTTCTCCCAGCCAAGTCGGGCTCCCGACATTCGTTGTCGCCCCGCGGCACAGAGGGGACCTGGCAGTGGGAGCGGAGGGCCCGGTGTTGGAGGCGGAGGAGCACACGCGGCCCCGCAGAGGTAACATTAACCCTTTGCCGCCCGGATCGGAAGCCCAACTCCTCGGCGTCTGATGCTGCTGGTGAAGTTTGTCCTGGAGGATTAACTGGAGTTAAAACGTACAGCCATTATCACTTAGCCCCGATGAGCCTCCCCTTTCCGGACGGGCAGGCCTCATTCTCTCAGCCCTGAGGAGTAACCTGGGGAGGTGTCCCTTCTCAAGGGACATCCTGGCATGCAGCCCGCTGTCATTTCTGGAGAGCTCACCAGCCCTGGGCTGTTCGATAGAGTAAGGTGACTGACTATAATCATATCTGCATTCCAGCAAGGTGTCTGGGCCACTGCTCCAGACAGCCCTTGGCTGCTGTGCTGCCATCCCTCTCCCCCAAGTCCAACTTAAGCTGGAGGCAGCCATCACGGTCCCCACCGGTGTTTATTGCTTGAGCAGAGGGGGGGAGGGAGGAGCACAATGTTACACCCATCCTAGGCCAAACTGCTCCATCACTGTGACTTTTCCTACCAAGGGCATCACTAAACTTATTGTGACATGAAGGGGAAGGCTGGGTGCTTGAGCTGAGCATTGTGTTCTACTATTTTCAGGCTTCCCTGCTGCCCTTGGATTGCAGTATTGAGGACTGGAAGAAGTCACTGGGAATGGTTTTGATGCCCCCTATCCCTATCCCCAAGGCAGCAAGATCACCTGATTTGCCTCCATACAGTACTTCAGTACCTCTCCGAAGCTCTCGGTACTTGCTTTTCCAAGATGCCCTGAACAGGAGGTAAACCAAGGTGTCTGCTTCTCCAACATGCCATTCACCTCGCGCTTCTTGTCTTGTGAGGTTATTTTCCATGGTCAGCTCTCCAATACATTTATGCAAACGTATGTGCATTCAACAGTTTGCATATTTGTGATGATCCAGCACAATGTCAGAATCAACATCCTACACTCTTAAGAGCAGGGGTGGTGGGAGGGAGGAGGAGGTGGCAGGATTTAAGAGGACCTTAAGGGCAGGTCCTCTGCTGGACTCTAATCATGATTCACCCTGTAATCTTTGCGGTGTCATTTGGGAACTGTATTGCATGGATCTGAAAACAGCATTTGGTTTTGTGAGTGATTTTGGCTGCCAATTTCTGTACCTGCAAGAATATGTGAGGACAAATGTTGGCTGTTGTATAGCTGTCTGCAAATTCAGATGCTGCTTCTGTAAATGTTAGTTGTAACTTCCCTGTGTCTGAGCTTTCACTGTGAAATGAGAGCCCAGATAAATCTTTGTTTATAGATGTACCATCCTATAGGTGTTTAATATTTACATATGGTTTTAAGATCAAAGGGAGCAAGGTGATAGAGAACAGTTACAGGGCTGTAACTGGTCAAAAGATATTTGCTTGGATATGCATGGGGGAATCTAGCTGTCAAACTTATCCTAGTTGTAACAGTAAATAAGGAGTCATAGAAATACAGTTCCAATTTAAAAACTTCAACATGGCTTTTAAAGTGCAATCTGAATATACGTACCTACCAGTTGAGTTGAAAAACTCTTTTTCTTCTTGAAAGGGCAGGGAGGTGTAATGTTATTTTCAGGAGACAGCAGTGGTATTACCATGTGTCAGCAAGATACTGTCATCAGTTGAAGTCACAATCAGGCAAAGTTAGGCTTCTCCAGCAGTATAAAGGTAGCTGCCCTCAGTATAGACTTATGACTGGCTTAACACCTCTTGCTGATGCAGAAAGGATGTATGTAACAGTGAGAACCACTTAGCCCCAGAAGGAGAGACAGCAGATTTGGGTAGTTAAGGCCCAAACTGAAGAATGACTCCTATATTTCAGCTGGAGCTCGGTGAGCTCTGTGTGACTGAAACTGAAAGTTTAATGGCAATTAATCAGCTTTGCATATTGTTGGTTTTATGGGTTGCATTTCCTCCTTCATCTGAATGTGCTAAGAAAGTTTGCGTCCTTTAATGCTGCTCCCCCTTCTCCTTCTATCTCCTCATATATGCTTTTCTCCTCAATTTTCTTAAGGCCAAGAAAAGACAGCAGCAGTAAAAACATGGTTGAATATGAAGGTAGGTACGGGGCATGGGTTGGCATAGGGCCCATGGGTGGCACTGTGAAAGTTCAGTTGAAAACCATCCTGGAACTTTTGTTCAGTTCCTTGACGTGCTCAGATGGCTCCACCAGAGCCCAGTGACTGGAAACTGTGCTTTGGTGATCCAGTGAAAATGACTCCAGCATGGAATTATGAATGACATGAGCTAGGGGTACCGTGGGACCCTGGAAAGGCAAAGCAGGAAAAGAAAATGTTTCTCTGTCTCATGCTCATGCCTTTTATCTCCCTGTATGCTGTCTAATGTCACAAAGATTAGAGAAAAACGAGGCATTTCACATGAAATGAGAAATGTTCCCACTCCTTCCTCCTACACTTGAAGGAGAAATCCTTTCCTTGATGCAGTTTCTGAACCGAACCCTTCGAGATCTGAAGAAGATTCATCAACATTGCTTATTTTTGCACTGGGGAAACAGTAAAACCTTGTGTGACACAAAGTCCGTGTGAATTTTCCATTTACAGAGGAAGAGACCTAAAAACGGACCCAGCCTACCCAGGGTCTGCACTCTCTGTCCTCTTAAAGCACAAGCCTAAATTAAATGCTGAGTAATGAAGTGAGGTTTCCTCTGTGCAGCTCATTTACCTCAAACCACATATGTAGGTTTATGATTACAAATCTCTTCCCCCGTGCTATCTGCATACGCCAGTATTGCAAACTGAGGCTGGGGTAGGATGAGGCTTCTCCCCCCTCCCCGCCTTGCATTGCCACTAGCAATAAGAGTTCCACAGACAAAATGTGGTGTTCGGTGCATCTGTGTCAGCCAATACTTTTAAGCTGAAAACCTCAATGTCCCTTTGCCATCTGCAGGTTCGTAGTGATAGGAGAGGTGAGAATTTAACAAATAATTTTGCTGATGCAGAAAAAGGGATAAGATCTACTGGCACCTTAGCTCAGTGTTAGTTCTGCCAAATAATGGGCATGCCCCATAGGAATGCTTCCTTTATTGCTGATATGCTGCTAGGATGCTGAATGCGACTGGGGAGAGGTATTGCTGAGTAAGTAAGTTGACATTTTTGCTGGATACATTCTGGACTTGAAATGAGCTATATTGTTAAACCATCCCTCTTTTATTATTGACCTGGCCATTCTGCAGGGAAAAAAAAATCCTGATTTAAGAAAGTTATTCCTGTTTTACTGCTTGGCTATCACATGATTTTATCATCTGTGAAGCCATATAAGGAATGCTTAGTTCTCCAAGTTTTAATAGGTCTGTTGGAGAGTATTTCAGAATGAGTTGCACTGTGCTATTCCCAGTAAGAAGACCAAGCTTTAGTGAGGCTGCCCAAAAAGTGGGCTGGTCTGCTACAATTTAGAATTAAACCCCTCAGGGAAAATTAATTTTCTAGCTTCAAGAACACAATTCTGTTTTGGGTAACACTTTAGAAATCCTAAGCTTTTTTTTAAATGCCTTCTAAAATATTCCAGTATAGAGGAGGAGATGTTGATTCTTCCCTCTACAAAGGCATATAGCTATTAACAATCAGGAGTTCTTTTAGTAACTGAGAAGAAGAGGTTGTTTACTAAAATAAAAATGGATAGGAACAGGTAAGAATCTCTTTGGCATGGGAAATCTCCATCTCTCTGCTGTTCTGTATCAAACACAACTGCTCCCCAGAAGCCAAGGGCAGTAGGTTTGGGTCTAATGGCCAGCAGAGTAATGCAGTTTCTGCTGCTGGTGCAATATGGTAGCACCCCATTGGCTTGGGGAGGTGATAAGTTCTTTTCTGTTCTCATACATAACCTATATCCATAACCTATATCTGTGTTTTGTCAGAGCTCTGGACTCTGGACCCCATCTTGCCTGTCCAGGATCACGCTGTTGCTGATGTGAAGTCTGCCAGACACTTCCCACGCATCCAGGCCAAGGAGACGAATCATCTCATAAGCCCTTACCTTCCGAATGATTCTTACTCGGAGAACAGATGTGGAAGGGTAAGGGCTAAGGACAGGGGCGAGCAGGTTTCCTTTTCAGTGACTGTTGAGGGCTTAGCACAAGCTGTCACTGAAAATCACAGTCTTCCTCTCTTGTGGAGCAGATTCTCTTGGCAATACATTTGGCAGCTACAGAGCGATTGCTTGAGTATTTTCACTGGTGCAGGAGTCACTGGTTAGGACATGGTGCTCAGGTTAAGCAAGAAGCATCCTTCATGTGCAAAGGCCAATTTAGAGCAGATCTGAATGGCAGAGCAAGTTACACATCAGTGAAGATGTGCAAAGTGCATGCTTGGAAGCACAGAAGCAAAGATTATAATGTCGAGTGTAAACAAGGCTGCAAAATACAATGGGAGAGCTTGCTTTTTCTTGGTTACCTTCCTTGCTGTATCTCACAGCCCTCTCATTCTCAGTTTTGCTATTCATTAAGACCAATGTTTCTCCAACTTGTTTTCACATGACTCCTTCTAAGGACCCCTTTATTTCCAAGAGAGTGGCTGACTCCTTCAGAAACAAGGAAGTGAGAAGGAGTTGCAATTACCGGCTGTGAGTGTTAAGAAACAGCAAGTTACCTCTCATTGCTAGTTATTGCAGCTGGGTTTTATTCCCCCGCCCGGCCTGTAGGAACTGAACTGCCTGTTCACTGATAATGTGACCTCTTCTTGCATCTTGGACCACTCCAATGACTCTCTTGGTTCAGGCAAGGCTTCCTCTGACCTAGATTGGGAACAGTATCTTGGACCGGTGGAAGGTAATGGCAATGAAGCATTACACATTGCGGTGTGTAAATGAATGCCAAGGTGAGGAAAGGAGAAGTTCTTCTGAAACTATTAGGATGTATATGGAGTTGCATTAAGGATGATGACACTCTACCACTGTGTTCTACCACTGTGTTCCTGATGAGGTGTTGTGTATGGTTTGTGTGTATCTCTCTGTGCTCAGAGTTGTGTTTCCATTGCAACTAGATCCATGCCGTCTTGTCCAAGTTAGCTCAGAAGAAAATGCTTAAGAAGCAAATGAGAGAGATGGAGCTTTTGTGCAGAGAGAGGGAGAACAAGAAGGAAGATGAAAAGCCCTTGCGTCTCCCTGCACTGAGCGTTAACCCTGGGAATGCAGCCGAAGAAAGTACGTGGTTGTTACAGTTGTGGGGCTTTTCGTTCACTTGCTTGCTATTTGCATAGTGTTGCAAATGTCTATGAATGAAGAACAGACTGGAAGGCTGTTACACTTGCATCTGAGTAGAAATTCAAATATGATTTATTTCCATTTTCCAAAGAAAAATAGAGGCATGAAGTGCCTTGCCTGTGGCCCATATCGAGTCAGTCACAGAATATCATCTTCCCCCCCATCTCCTATAAAGTCTTTCAGACTAGATAATTCTGTCTTGCAAACTGCACTGGGGCTTCAGGTTCTCTAATTGAGAGCAGCCTCCAGGAAAGGTGAATATGTGAGTCCGAAAGAATGCTTTTCAACTAAGGTGTAACCTCGAAGAAACAAAATTAAACTATTTCTAATTAAAATGCAAAAGATCTTGTTAATGCAACAGGACAGATCATCCTGCTCACACCTCTCCCTGCTGAGAAGCCCACATTGTAGAGCTGTGCTGGAGACCTGAGCCAGTGCTTACGTTTTAGCTGCACGAGCAAGCAGCGTTACTGACGTAATTGCAGCTGGTGGGCTCTGATTGTACTGCTGCACGCACTACCATGAGTGCAGCGGCGGGGAATTTAAGAGTCAGCACTCAGCCCAAGGGCATTTGGCAAGGTTATCTGCTCTTTTCCTTGCTATTATTTTGGGAAGTACTGGTGAGGAGCCCTGAGGTGGGAGCCACAGAAACGTAACTTCGCTATCCAGCCTCTGAAACAAGAAAGCAAAAGGAAAGCAGTACTGGGTTTTCCTCATTTCTTAGGGAAAGCATCACTGCATTCGGCTTTGAACTTAAAGACTCTAGATTCAGACTAGACAAAAGGAAGAGATTTTTTACGATGACAGTGGTTGCCCAGAGAAGCTGTAGATGCCCCATCATTGGAGGTGTTCAAGGTCATGCTGGATGTGGATCTGAGCACCCTGATGTAGTTGAAGATGTCCCTGCTCATTGCATAGGGGGTTGGACTAGATGACCTTTAAAGGTCCCTTCCAACCCAAACTGTTCTATGATTCTGTGATCACTGTCCCCCGCTAGCGTGCAATTCTTGAGCTTGGAGTTGTTTGGGACAACAAAGGGATATTACCCAGCTTCAGCAAGACTTCTAGCCATTTCCAAGCTCATAGTCGACCTGTCCAGCACTCTCCACTTACAAGGTCCTTTTCAATGTCTGCAGGTTTTGGCCAACTGCCTGTCAACAGGACAGTTTCCATTCCCTCCAACATGAGCAATGTACAAAGACAATGCGCTGGTACCCCGCACGAGAAGACGATCAACAAACCCTCACTGTTCAGCGTCCCTGTCATCAGCCAAGGTGGCAGCTTCCCATGCAACTACTCAGGTGAGCTCGCTCTGTTGCAGTCCCTGCCCCAGCTCTTCCCTTACACAAGGAGCACAAACTGCCTCATTCCTCAACTACAGGTAGGATCTTAGGTCCAAAGCCTGTCCTGAGGACTGAGAGCAAACCTGCTTTGGATCGATTCCAGCTTGGTGATACTGGAGCAGTTTGTGCTTACAGATCCATTGGAAAGTTGAGCTGAATGAAGTAGGGTAAAGCGTTAAGGTCTAGCTTTTGCCCATACAGGTAGTCCAAAAAATAATGCTGGTGGCCGAAGGCAGCTGTAACTGCAGGGCTGAGGTCCAGTGCAGTCTGGCAAGGTATTCTCGCTCTGCACGCATGTGTACCACAGTGACCAACTAGCCCTCACCATCTTGACCCTCTGCCTGTGCTGCTGTCTGGCTCTCCAGCCACCTTTTCTGCTGTCGCAGCTGGGGTTGTCTCTACGTGGAAATCAGTGACTTGATACGATCATGCTGTTGCACCTAGAAGTGCTTGAAACCCTTGTTTTCAGCCTCTCTCATCCCAGTGCAAGCTGGGAACAAGCAGGGCCTCTTCTGTCACCCCACCCAAATACAGTGGCTGTGTGTAGCAGACAACGTGTAGGAGAGGCTGTCTGATGCCCCCAGGCTGCTTGCTACCTGCAAGATATGCAGATATTGACACACTGTATGATAGTGAGTCCATAATGATTGTCTCTCCTTTATGGCTAGCCTACCTTGTGTTATGATCCTGAGTAGCGTGAGTAAAGAAAAAGGGAGCTAGGAATGATACTTTGAATGTTCTTTTCTCATGATGCTACTCCAATTTTCAAAGTTGGCCAGACTAGCCTGACACGGCTTTCCATTCATATTGAATATAGATGTATATATCTACATACTCGTGCAGTGACATCACTGATGTCAGTGACAGTGATATCGATGACATCCAAATTAGTCCTCATCTGAATATTTTTGATTTTACCGTTATTCCATCCTCCATACTTTGTAAAACACAAGAGGTAGCATAAAACCCCTATAGAGTCCATAGCAAACTCATCTAGATTCTGTGCAGTGTTTATACTCAATACTTTTAGACAGCTCAGATGTTTTCATCTACACTTTAGAAAATGAGCTTTTGAGTGCAAGACATGAAGTTTTTGACCTATGGTACTTTCGATGACAAATAGGTTTCATAACAAATGCATTTGTCATCTGAATTTTCCCATACCTTGTATATTTATCATCAAGAGAGTGTGTTTGCCAACAATTTGCATCTACATTTACATATTTTTATTCTCAGTTCACATTTGTAAGGTTTTTTGTTACAACTATCTAGACTAGAAATTGCATTTTTCCACAAGAGAAAGCTTAGGCATGGCACAGTTTGCAAACAAGTACATTTGATGACAAAAAAATTTCACCTCAGCATCTTCAAAATAAAGCCAGTGGGTACCTCTAAAGTGGTAAATATTCATAACGCCTGGAGAATATAAAAATCCATAAACTACTACTTTCCCAATGGTATGCCAAAATGTATGTGCACTCAGCTGCCTGCTGTCTTGAATACTTGAAGTAAATGGAAACAGAGGCACTGCCAGACTTAGAGGGTCAGGTATCACTCTTCCCCCGTGCTTGATCCTTGAGGATTCGCCCAAACCCAGCAGGAGTTGGTTGTTCAGGCTCGGTGTTCACAGGGAGCAGCTGGAAGTGTTTCCTCAGAAAGTTAGAGGGTGCCTCTGTCCCCAGTGCCCCAGGTAACAGGGAGGTGACACAGGGAGGGATGTGCACACTCCCGGGGTAGCAGTGAGTGTGAGCTCTGCGTCACTGTGCATACGCAAGCTGGCTGCGGTATCCATATGGACTACGGAGCTGGCTCTATGTGTGCAGTTTTCAGGTTTGCACAAGGAGATGGTGGGCAGCTGGAAGTGACTGGGAGATGACTGGGTGCTGGGGAAAGCCATTAGCCAGACAGCAGGGAAGTCTGAACCCATGCCAGTTTGTACCCACACATGGCCTTGGCTACGAGGTTGGGTTGCAGTCTGTTGGGTGGTGGGCTGCCTTGCGCTGGGGTAGGCCATGCTGGTGTCTGACCCTCTCCTTACAGTGAACACTCTGCCGGCCAATGCCCCGCACTGCCCGAAGGGGGAAGAGGACCCAGAATATGAAGATACCCAGGAAGCCAGACCGTTCCTTCACCCACAAGAGGCATTGCTCAACACGCTAGAACGGCTCAGCAGTGACGACTGGTAAGAAAGCCCCCTGTTCACTCTTTCTCCCTCTCAGTGTAAAGGTAAATTAGAATTTTTTTTTTCCAGTGCCTCTGAGGCCAGACAGCCCAGATGTCCAAAGGGAACTAATGAAACTACTCCAAAGCAGTCACAGTACAAAGATGTGATTGGACTTGCTGCTAGAGCCACAGCCGGTCCATGCTGTTTCCTAGCTTTGCCTTCTGCTTCATGTAGCTGCAAATGAAATCTTCAGGGAAGAGAGGAAGCTGTGGAAGGGAATGATTTGCTGGCTGAAGCCAGAAGCAGGACAGAAGTGGTCTTGAGTTTGGAGATCTGGGGGGCCGCAGGTTACTGGCCCAGGTGGGACTGAGTAAAGATTTATCCCTGGTCCCACTGCTGGCAGCAGCATCAGGAGACAGGACCTCCCTAACACCTCCTGCATGTGAATCCCAGGAACGCCTCTGGGGAGTTCCTATTTCTGAGAAACAGACTAAGACATGGTGCAAAGTTGCTCAGCTTGTCATTTCTTCTGAAGGGCTCATGGCAGAAGACAAGGAAAAAGGGAAAAAAATAATTCTTTAGGAATCTTGCATTTTTATAATTAAACATTTTGCCTCCTCACTGCTCAATGTGGGCCAAAGATGTTTTTCTGATAATCACAATGTGTCTTGAAATTAGACACAGACAGGAGGAGACTCTAGAAATTTCAGGTGATACTGCTTGCCCTTCTGATTTCTGGGTCAGCATACACTCACTAGGACTCTGTTCCCACTGGGATAACCATGAAAAATCTTCCATGATGCATCTCCTTTTGCAGTCGCTTTGTTTTGCCCCTCTCCCCTTTTGCTTCCCCATTCCTGTTTGGTGCCCTGTGCCTGTGAGGTGCAGAGAGCTCTTGCAGGTGTGGGGTGGTCTGGGTTACAGTCACGGACCCCAGAGGGGATGGGTCCCCCGTCCTGCCTTGCAGCCCTTCATGTGTCTTCTTGTAGCTTCACAAAGAGAGTGCTGAAAGATGCAGTTTTTTACTACTTTTAAATAACATGTTGCTGTTGTGGGTGTTGTTTTAAGCAGGGATTTTCTGGAAAATCCAGAGTTTTGGCTGTTCTTGCCCAGGTGTGGAATCTTTTAGGACATACTGCTTTTTTTTTGGGAGGCGGATTTCAGAAAGGCTGTCTTGTTTAATGGCCACAAATGAAGCCATCACTCTGAAACCATCTGTTTGCCTTTTGGATTTATGTAACCTTTTGACTGCCACAACATCCTGTGGCGAGTGCCGTGTTTTAATTCAGTGCTGTATGAGAAGCACCTCCCTTTGTTTGCTTGAGCCAACACCCAGGTAATTTCAGAGGGTGCTGCCTAGTTCAGGGGTGGTGAGAAAAATCAATCTTTTTGGTAATTGCCTTTCAGGCAGCAGAAGATGAAGGGACTCCTCAACGTCAGATGCCTGGCTGTCTATCACTCAGATGTCCTTCTTCCTAGACTTCATGATGTTTCTTTGGCAGTTATCAAAGAGGTAAGAGCATTGTGTTTAATTGTGTACCCCGTACATGGGGCGTGGGGTAGAGACGTGTTTGTACATTTACATGTCTGCCCAACGTCTGCTTTCATTACTGTTTTTAGACCTCGTTTTACTAATAGCTATGTCACCTATCCAAATGATCTGTCTGTACATATAGCTGTGTTTACTGTTATGTAGGGCATCTGTCTCTCCTCATTGACCCCAGTGTCATTATAACGCAATATACAAATGCAGAAACTGAGACACTAATCAGGTGACTTGCCACAGCCCCAATCTCTGCCCAAGCTGTAATTAAACACTGCAGCTTTTGCCTCCCAGCTTCCTCCCACCTTTTCCTCCTCCTCTGAATCCTGGGAGATGGACTGCAGGTATTTATTTCCTAGTGTTTCCTGATGAAATCTTCTTTTCTGTGTGCTTTTTTGGTAACTTGCCCTTTCCATTCATCTGTTGCCTTCCCTGCACTGGTGGGATTGTGCACCGCAGCTACTGGGTGCTTAGAATGGCCTGGCTGCGGGATTTGTAGGGCAGTCATGCACAGCTTCACCATCTCATCCTCAGGAAGGGTCTCAACCTAAGCTCCTTGGTAACTTCTGTGGCTGTATTTCCAACTCCTGTGGCTGGCTGTGCCTGAACCACCTGCCTTGCACTCTTCTTACATTATTGCCCAATACATTAAATCTTCCTTTGCTTGCAGAAGACAGTAAGACTTAGCTCATTTCCATTAAAACCAGTCCTTCAATCCAGTATTTAATGGCTCTGGAGGCTTGAATGCCCCTTGTGTTGTTGGACTCTTCAGACCTTTCTGGATATGCAGGATTCAGATTCTCCCCCTCTGAGACCAAGGTTAGGAGAAGAAGCCCTTTCAGCTTGGCTTATCTGATTTTTACATCACTTTTATATTTCTAAGGAAATTTCTGAGACATCTTTCAGCTTTCACTGCACTCCAGTGCAATAGATTGTGCTTTCACAAGCACTTCTACCACTTACATTGTTCACTTTTCCTAGTAGGCATAACTAAGCCTGGCAGAAAGGACAACTGGTCTGTCCTTCAAAGTATCATTCAAATGAAGCACATGACTATGAGATGCTTCTTCCTTACTCTTGTGGAAGAGCCTTTTGGAAGCAGGGATCACTCCAGAGCAGCACTGAATGCTGTAAAACCCCATTAATTGCATCCGTAATTGCAAGTGGTCTTCAGAATCCTTGAGTGCCTTGGGTCCAACAGCTAGTATTCTCCTGAGCAGAGGGAGCTGCAAATGGACTCAAGTCCCTGCTGTGGATTAGTCTGTAGACTTGAGCCCGTATTTTCTGTTTCCTGGTTGAGTGCTCAAACTGCCAGTGCTGCGTTTTTGGACAGGAGAAAAAGATTACTTTTCCTCTATCTTGTCTATATAAATTATGCCTTTATAGTTTAAAAACAGCCCTTGATTAAATTTTTTGTCTGTTTGTTTTCAAAAAAAAGGCCTAAGGTCAAAGCAGTGTACATTATGGGCTAAGTGAGCTTTGTTCTAAGTGAAACAATGTTTTCTAGGCCTGCAGTCTCATTAAAATTTTATTGTATAAGCAGGCCTGAGGCCAGAGGAGAACTCAGTATCAGGTAAGTCTGTTTCTATGTTGTGGTCTTCTGCTTTTACCATGCTTTAACGTTGCACCTGGACACAGACAGAAGTCTTGTTGTTTCCTGGAACTTTCGTGTAGGGGAACTGATTTTCTTTACAAGGCGATTCTTACATTTCCCCTCGTGACTTCCCTAGGCGTCCAACCTCCGCTCGACGGTGTCTCGCTTTGCAGTCAGCATTCTTGGAAACCTCTTCAGCACCATGAAGAAGCGCATGGACCGTGAGGTGGATGGGATCACCCGGGTCTTGCTCCAGAGGACGGGGGACAGGAGCGAGTTCATTCAGAAAATAGCCAATCAATCCCTGAGGATCATGGTGGAGAATGTGACTCCTGCACGAGCAATGACTGCTCTCATGACCAATGGAGTCCAGTATGTTGTTCTTCTCTTAGTGATACCCTTCACCTTAAATTCTGTGGGTATGGAGAAGGGATGGGAGGTAGAAGGGGAATTATGGGTGGGAAGGGTCCTTTCTCCTGCATCTTTTGTGAACTCAGGGATTAGATTCTCTGATCAACCTCACTCCCTCTTGTCAATGAGTTCTGCCCTACTACAGCCTATTTGTCCTCAGTCTGTCAGCACTGCCTAGACGTGGTGAATGATGGGGAAGTGAAAGTCCCTGCAAAGGTTGGTGGTGCAGCTTTGTGGCTTTGCGGGAAGGGGGACAATGGCAATTCCAGCAGTGAAAGCCCTTTGATATTTCACAACGCTAACCACAGAGGTCCTGGGAAAAACCATGCATCATCATTATGCCATCAACTTGAGAAATAAGGAGGCTAATTGCTGGGACGTGAAGGATGTGGGAGAGAACCTGCTGGGTGTGGCACAGCCTGCTCAGCAGGCGCAGCTCCTGCCAACAGGAGCCTGTCTGACCGTCACGTCCTTAGGGCTCCGCTTTCTATTCAGATTGATGCTGCAAGCTAGCCTTGAGATGGTGAGCCACTTCACACATGCCTTCACAGGCTGACTCCCATGGGATAGCTGAAGGAAATGCTGCCTTAAAATATTAGTGCCATGCCTCTTCGTTTCAAACAGGCACCCTCTAGAAAGCACAACCTGGCTAAAAGAACTGCTTCTGAAAAGGGTAAAACATTCAATCGCACCTCTTGCCAAGCCTCAAAGGACAAACTGGCTGCATTTCTGGATATTCTGCAGCTTCCTACCCCATGGGGTTTTTCCCTCCATTTGTTTGATTCAAGGGTGTGCAGATTTGGAGATAAATGGATGGAATAAGCCCCAGTCCTGCTGCAGCTCTGCCTGTGTAGTAGGAGCCCTCTGACGAGTCAGCATGAATTGTCTTCCATTTCCCTCTCTCTCAGAGTTAATTTTAGGAAAGAAATTGAGTATCAGAGAGTCCAGGGAGATTGATTTTCTCCCTCTACCTTGCAGGTAGCCCCTCTGTATGATGCCAACTCTGTGTTTATCTGAGGACACGGTCTTCTACAGATGGCTATAACTGCAACCAGAACACCTGCCTCCTTCGCCTCCTTCCCCCAGCAATAACCGGAAGCATGCTGTGACCCAGGCCTGTGCTTCTGGCCCTCCTTTTCCCTCTGCCTCAGTGTTTGTGCTCTTGTTTCCAGGCACCGCAACATCCTGGTACGAAAATATGCAGCCGAACACCTACTGACCGTGATAGAGCAAATCGGAGCCGAGAAACTCCTGTCAGGCATGCGTGACAGTACCGCCCTGCTGGTGCCCATGCTGGTGAAGCTTGCTCAGGACCGTCATCAGGACACAAGGTGATGATCTTCATTTCACCTCCTCAGGTTTGAAAACTGATGTCTGGCTATAAATGATAGAACCACAAAAGGGTGGAAGGTAACGTACGTATTAAGAAAGGTACTTCACAGTGCGGATAATGTCGTCTGGGGAAATGGCTGTACTGGGTGACATGAAGTTGTCCAGCAAGAAGGAATCCTGCCAAATTCTTGTGACTTGAATGATTCTTTATTCAGATCAACTGTGCTCAGATTAGTCGGACAAGCAATTTTGTTTGGTCTTATGTGTGCAAAGCAAAAGTGAATTGTTGGCTGTTGTTCATCACTCAAGGATCACAAGCATTTATTTCTGATAAGTTAAGACTGTCCTAGAAAAATTCCAGCTGTCTTTAACCAATGTATTTAGTCCTTAGATGTTTACATCTTGTGCAGATATCATAGGAGTTCCCTATGATAGTCACGAATTTTTCTTTCCCAATTATTGTATAATGTTGTTGTCTGTGGCTGAACAACCTCCAAACTTCCTCTTGAAAATAGCTGTATTTTCATAGTAGCAAAACCAAACCCACAAAACCCCAAAAAACCCTTACTTTGATTATTAATTTAAATTCCTCTTAATAGATGCCAAGAACACATGAGCAACTAGCTGCCCATGTGCATACATGTAGTATATATAGAATAATGAATAGTAAGCATGAGGTGATTTATCCTAGCTTCTCTGCCAGTTAAAGAAAGGTGAATTATTGTGCAATGGCAGCAAGACACTGAAAATAAGCCATGCCAGCAAAGCAGATGTGCTTCACTTGTCCCATAGGATCCTTCGATCCCACAGAAGCATACCCACAATTTCAGAGTGATATTGTATTTTCCTGTTACCCAGTGTTCATCTCTTGCCTCTTGTGTTCATCTGGCAGCATTGTGCAGTGCCAATATGTGGAAGTAAATATCTTTCTTTGCTGAATAGGTAATACCTTCTTATGAAGGTATTGCACATGATGAGTTTAAAATATCAGCTTAGTTTATTAACAATTTTCCTTTCTTTATTCACAAGGGAAAAAGACAGTAATAGTCTGTATTCTTTTCTCTCCTGTGTTAGGTGTTGTGGACGGAAGATGCTGAATATATTGATGAGTCATGAAAAATTTGTTAGGTATTTGAAAAAGTTTGTCCCCTCACATGACTTGCAAGATGTTATGGCAATAATTAAGCAGAAAGTAAGTACTTGGCAGGAGAAATGTCTCCTTTATGCACGTACTGAGATTGCTAACATGAGATTAAACATACCTAATCTTTCTTTATTTCATTCTTCTCCTGATGAATCATTTTGCTCCTGGGAATGAGCTGTTGATCCTTAGCCTGTTTATCTGCAGACAGCAAAGGAACTAGTATCATTAGAAATAAAGGGGGTATATTTTTAATATCAGTCACAAACAGGAAAGGGAAGTAGGAGAAAATGGTTTTACCTTCAAGCATAAAAAACCCAACACAATCTTCCACCCCCAATAAGGCAAGAAAGTGCAAATAGTGTTTCTGAAGATAATAGGGGACTTTGCAACAGATGAAGGAAGTAGTAGTGTCAAGAAAATTTCCAGATATACAAAAGATGCACAAGGCAGTCATAAATAGTACATCAGATACTCTCTGTATTCTGAGACTACTTCCCTGCTGTCATGCACTGTGGAGTGGGAAGAAGCTTCATGAATTCAACATCCAATAGAAAATCAACCCTTTTTTAAAAAATTCCTCTTCATTTACATTCTAGAAAGGAATGTGCTTTATGCAGGAATAGGGAGAGTGAGTTTGTACCAAATGAACTCCCAACACAATGGGCCAGCCTCCAGAGAGTCCAAAAATGTCCTGCTATTCCCCTTAAGGCTTGTTCCCTACCAATTTTCATTATTCCCGTTTGTGCTCCAGACCAATGAAGCCAGAATTTTATACTTTTTCCCATCATGGTAGCACCTGTAATCTGCCTTGGGCTATTTGAAACAATTAGTAGACATCACTGAATCTCTGACCATGACTGAATCTCTAAATTATGATGTTTTCCTAAACCTTTTTTTGGTAGCAGTGATCCTGGTTATAACTTCTGTTTTAAACAAGTAATTTCCTATTTTACCTTCTAAAGGTTCATGATTTCTTAATATATATTTCTGTAGGGGGTAGACCTCCATAAAAGTGAATCTCCACCTGCCAAGGTCACCAAGAAGTCTAGGAAGAACATCTCGAGGATGCCTCAGGGCAACTTGCCTTCTGTTGGATGGTACTGAGCACTTCTGTTATATCTGACAAAGCACATGACGAGCTTTACATGCCTATTCCTTGGTAAAATCTTTCTGGTGGAGACGAGCTGTGCTGGAGATTGTTTCCTTGCTGCACAGATCTTCCATGATAAAAGTTGTCTACTTCTGCATTAGGCTGAACACCAACTCTCTAGGGGGTTTTCCACAAAAATTAGGAGGAAGAGCCAGCCACGGGCTGCAGCTCAGAAGATGCAGTGTAGTAGTGAGGACAGTGTTGTGGAGGCTGTGAGAAGGTCATGTCTCTGCTGTTTGACTTGGGACAAGTCATTTCAGTCAGGTTATTCTTAGCTGAGTGAAGTCTTTTTTAGATGAATGGTTGGATGAGAAGTCCCAGCCTAGAACCAAATTGCCAAACCCAAAAATAGCACTTCCCATGCATGTGGTTTGACCTGGCTGAATCATGGTTTTCTGACTCTCAAAGAGTATCAGCAAGACGATTCCTGAGCAATTCTGCTCGACAGACATCTGAACGTGGACTTTTTCTGTAGCTGTTCATGTCGTTCAGACCCATTACTGGTTGCCTGATGGACAGTATGTTTTTTCCTCTGTGCTATCAGCATTCAAGGTAGGAATTTGGTCCCTGCTGTCTCCCCATGCTACCGGGAGAGCTGCTTGCACCTGTTCTCTGATAACAGAGTGGATTTATCTAGCTCTGTTGTGCTCAGCAGTGGCAGGAAGGTGACCTCAACCCTCAATAGTATAGTTAGGAACTCCCCACGCTCATGGCAGACGGAGGTTGGTCTAAGAGAATTGTTTCCATTGGCTTTGTTAAGATGTGGATCCAGTCCCTTGGGAAGCAATGATGTGAGTGTAGTGGTGGGATGTCTGGCTTCTGTTTTTATCTCTGTTACTGATCCTCTGGATCCTTTCAGCCATACTCCTTAATTTCTCTGGGTTGGATTCATCTGTTCAGGTGCATCTGAGCTATTTATCCAGATTCCCATACCAGTTGTAGAGACACTTCTCCGGAGAAATTAGTTTCCTTATAATACAGACACCTCCCATAAGATGAGGCATTTAAACTTAGAAGTAGTGCCTATTTTTCTTCACAAACTGATGCTAGATGGGTACCTGGGAAGACATCTGAAGACAAATCCCATCCCCAGTGCCTCGGTTTTCCAGAGAAAGCACTAGTGATAACGTTACTTGCAGATTGTCTCCTGTAATGATTGTCATGAGATCAAAGTTGCTTTTCAGATCAGGATCTAGCTGAAACCACATTGCTAAGAAGTGCCCTCGAGATGTTTTCCTCACAATTAACTGAAGAGATTATCACCAAAAGGTCTTACCTTGTTTTTATTTTCCAGTTTGAGGTATGGCTCTGATGTACAGTCTGCCTGGCCTCATCGGACAGTTCGTTGCACCCCATCTTGGACTGTGGAAGAAACTCAACAGGTTAATAGGATCTGCAGTTTCCTAAAAGCCAAGGAGTTTCAGACACGAATGAAGGGACTGATGCTCCTCCTCGATAACTGCAAAAGCAAACCCCAGCTCATCTCCACTAACATTGTCCGGGTATGTAGGGCCTCTCTGTCGCTCCTTTCCCGTTAGCTCCCTCCCCAAGCCTGTACCAGTAAAGTTAACCCAGTGTGTCTTGGCACTACATACTAGTTGATTGTGACTGGATGGTTCCTTCTTACCCAGAATAATTTCATTAATCTCCAGGCTTCAAGGCAAGTAATTTCAGTCCAGACGCATTTCCCTGGAAGATACCTATTGGTGCTGTTTATGAGATGGTGACAAAATTTATTGTTGCTGTAGCTTCTTCAGCCTCCTACTACCAGTTAGGTTGAAATAAAGAAAATCCAGCTATTGAAACCTTGGCAATTATTCTCTAGAAGAAAAATGTATTAGGATGAGGGAGAGAATCATAGAATGGTTGGGGTTGGAAGGGACCTTAAAGATCATCTAGTTCCAACCCCCCTGCCATGGGCAGGGACACCTTGCACTAGACCAGGTTGCTCAAAGCCTCATCCAGCCTAGCCTTGAAGACCTCCAGGGATGGGGCATCCACAACATCTCTGGGCAACCTGTTCCAGTGCCTCACCACCCTCTCTGTGAAGAATTTCTTCCTGATGTCTAATCTAAACCTCCCTGTTTTCAATTTGTACCCGTTACCCCTTGTCCTGTCACTACAGGCTCTTGTAAAAAGTCCTCTCCCAGCCCCCTTGTAGGCCCCCTTCAGATACTGGAAAGCTGCAATGAGGTCTCCTCAGAGCCTCCTCTTCTCCAGGCTGAACAAGCCCCGTTCTCGCAGCCTTTCGTCATAGGAGAGGTGCTCCAGCCCTCTGATCATCTTCGTGGCCTCCTCTGGACTCGCTCCAAGTGGTCAATATCCTTCTGATAGAAGTATCAGGCTGGGTTGATTAAAAGAAAAAAAAAAGCTGGTTTAAAGGGTGCTCCTGTAAACTTTATTGTGTCTTGCACAGACAACACTCTGCCCATTCACTTCCATCCTCATCCCTTTCCTGCTTGGGAAAGATTGTCCTTGCCCTTCCTGGGGGTCCTTTTTTCTCTTTGGAAAGAGAAGAAAAATGGCTAGAGACAGATATTCTCTTCCTTCTCCTCCCAGCAGCTGCTTTTTTCCACTTTTCCAGAAAATGGTGCCTGATAACATGGTTGTCAAGGGACTGAACCCTCCCTAATGAGAACTGCACAGCACATTAAACTTCAGAAATATGCCCTTTAGCTAGACAAGTGGTCTCTATCCTGAAGAGTTCATCAGAGCCCTGCACTCACCCAGATGCAGGTTCTGAGATAAAACAAAACTTGGATCTCATGCAGACACAGTTTTGGCAAAATCAAAACTACCCTCAGTACTTGAGACAACTTTAGGAAAAAATGGGCATCATAAATACCTGTTTTCATACCTCTGTACCAAAGATACTGTTTTGAATTATTAAAATGAGATTGATTTAATGATTTATAGGTAGAGAAACACCATATGAACTACCCCATCCCCACTCAAACCTCTTAATAAAATATGAAAATCCTTTCAACCAGCATGAGGTTGTACAACCACTACAGTGAGTAGCCCACAGGAAAATGGTGAAATTGTGCTAGCAAGCACTGGCCTGACAGAAAGGATTGCATTCATTTTTTATATGGCTGGGAACTTGTTTCTACATCCGGTCTTGAAACAAAGACATTTTAATCCAGCTTTCATGTTGTTTGTTTTCTTAACAGATTTGTGATGATTTTATCCCAAAACTTCAAGATTGCAACAGGAAAGTGAACCAGCAGGCACTGGAGGTGCTGGTTTTGATGACATCCATGCTCAAAAGTGCCTTACACCCAGTGCTGTTCTCTCTGGTACCAGCTGTCCTTGAAAACCTGAACTCAAAGCACTTGGGGATTTCTACTGCAGCTGTGAAGGTGCTGGAAGCATTCACTGCTCACCTGGGTAAGGCTGACCTCTGACAGTGACTCTCCTCAGCTGTGGCTTCTCCATCTTGGAGTCAAGTGAACACTGAGTCTGTTGATAGCTGTTGTCACGTGTGTGTCATCATCCAGCTGCTGCAAGAGGTTTATGAACAAGAATGCCTGCATTCTTTCTGTCCCAGTCTGTTGTATCCTGTTGTGATGTGCAGCTGGATGGATGCTGTTTATCACCTGGATCATATGTCTGATTATTAACACAGTAGAGAGGGCATTACAGGGATTATTTTAAGTTCCTGCCAGAAGAGCATGAGGGAAGTGACTAGCATCTGTCATGACTGGTTTTCTCCCTTCCTGCTGTGAAACTTCATGCATTTTGTTTTTATCGAATTGGATTGCTCAGATGTGCATTCTGTTAAGTTTATATCCACTAAAACAAAGTAAAAGGAATGTACTTTTTCCTTGAAACACGACGGGAAGGGTGGTGGAGGCTCTTTGCTCTCAATGGGCTTCGTTCCATGCTCTGGTAGTGGCATCTTTCCCAAGCAGATGCGTCTGGTCCTTGCTGACCTCAGTATGAAAAGCTTTGAACTCAGTTACTCATTTTGAAGTTTTAGGTAGTAGTTTAGCTATGTAAAGCCCAAAGGAAAATGTCCGTTTGATTTCAAAGATTTAAAGTTTGAAATTAATAAGAAATTATGAAAGATCATAGTGGAGATCAGAGGAAGGATGAAATGCTTGTTCCATAGTCAGCCTGGAGGTATTGGGTTAGAAATGCCTTGGCTCCTTCCTCCAGAAGAGTAAGGAGCCCATCACTGTCCTCTTTTCTGAATGATTGAGCATGGGGCTACAAGCCCCTGCTGATGTAAAATATGTACTTGTAACAGGGAGAGGGTGAGGTCCCGATCTGCCCTGTGTCCTGAACCATATGGCCCACTGCAGGCTGTGCAGCATGTCTTCTGCTGCCCACCAGGGCCACGCTGAAGCTCTCGGGGATCCTCAGGCTCATTTTGGCTGGGAGCACCTGTCCTGCAGAGTGCACCGCCAGCCCATCCCTCATCGCTGCCCAGAAGTTACGTGTTGGCATGCTATGGATTGGCAAATACAGTAACATGTTCTTTGATGGGTAATACTAAAATCTATGTTGGTGTCTTTACAGTTCATCAAGACAACTTTTAACAGCTACTTTTTGTTCAGTGTATTTGGAATTAGCTGCTTGTGATCTGCTCTAGAAACTGATTGTATGCATGTAGGTAGTACGTATTTTGTAAAAGCATGTGGATGATATTAGCTCCCTGTTTAGCCCCACCTGCCACAGGTTTCAATTTGCCTTAATTTGGAGGCAGTAACCTAAAGGTAAGGGAGTCATAAAAGCAGAAATAAAAGAATAGGAGTAAAGTTGAATGGGATTATACTAAGATTTTTTTCTCTCACCCCATTTTTATGGTTGATATTAATGATTCACAACAGTGAGTACAAGGATAGACAACTGGGTGGCTCTCTAGGTGAAGAAGGGACTGGTAGGGGTGGTTGCAGCGAGGGAGGACAGTTGAAAACCAGGTCCAAGGCCATAGCAACTGGTGTTCTCTGTGACTCTTAGGTTATTCTTAGGCACTTTATTTTAGGCAGCTGCATCCTGCTTGATCTCCTGGTGTAGATTTAGAAGCACACTGGTAGTACTCGTGCTACCGCTGTCATCGCTGCAGCAGTGACCAGGAGTTACTAGTCCCCAGAGTTCTTCATCTGCTGTTTATTCCAGCTCTGACTGTTGAAATGTGAGATGAGAGGTGGTGTGCGCGTACTTACACATGCAAGGAGTTGGTTTTGGAAAGATGAATGCCATCAGTATAAGTGTTCGCCAAGGAGGTTTTTTTACACTGATTAAAATCTGCTGCAGAAAAGTAGGTTCCACACAGAGTGTTTGGGTTCTATGGCTGATGCTAGGTTTGCAGATCATTTATGCTATGTGACAAACAACCTGAATTCCTTCCAGCTGTAACTGGTGAGCTGGGTAACCAGACGCTCTGGTGGTACAGTCCTTAGGCACCAGTTCCCAGACAGGCTTGAACACGTGCCAGCATTTCCCTCAGTCCCGGGAGCCTTTGGCTCTGTGCTGCTTGTTTGCTTTGGTACAGAAGGAGCTGAACAATCAATCCTGGAGTACAACTTTCTATAATTCAGGGGCAAAGGGATTTTTGGAGGTTATTTGGGCCCAATCTGACTTGAATTGCTTTGCTGTTGGTGTGAAGGAACACCAGCCCATTAGAGCTTTGCAGAACAGCTTCCTGGAAGGCTCTACATTATAGGCACTAGCTGGCCCTGTCTATTTTCCACCTTTCTTCTTTTCTTCTTTTTTTAAAGGGGGATTTATGATATGCCAAGTTCATTTCTGTAGAACAAACAGGTATAAATCCAGCTGTAAATGATGGCTTGTTCCACATGCTGTTCTGCACGGGGCAAGATTGCTATAGCCAATAACTACATAGCCAAGGTCTGCTGTAAATTCCCTTGCCATGCAGATTTATGTCAGCTGTGAAAATGCAGCACTGGGTGAATATTACTGAAAAATTTAGTGTTGAAGAGGCAGGTCTTAAAGGGGAATTAACAACTTTCTCCGCATCAGCTGCTTTGCGAAATCAGTGGATTTGCTGATATGCTGCCTTTCTGTGTCCCACGTATGGAGTTGTTCCTGACCGTGAAGTGGGGAGAAGGGTGTGAGACCTGTCCTACTATTGGCCCTTACCCATTTTTTGTGGTGCCTGGGAGAAGGTTGGGGAAAAGTTGCAGAATCCTGTTAACAGAGGATGGGGCAAACAGATCCCCCGAGGGTTTAGAATGGAGCTTTCCGTCATACCCCTCTCACCAGTTCTGAGAGATCACTGTAAATTTTCCATGCTGGCAGATGTCACAACAGGAACAAGGTGCATCTGTGTCTCATTGCACTGACTTTACCCAGAGACAGGTTCAAGCAAACAAGGTGGGATATAATTTTTTTAGACATTTTCAAAAATTCAAGCAGGCAACCGAATCACAAATATTTCAGAATTCAAGACTTGGGGTTTTAGTCGGGAAGGAAGGCTCTGCTTGAAAATTGCATGAGCAAAACCTTCTTATATACTTTAAAATTGTCTGCCTTTACAATTTAAAATAAACCCCCACCCCCCAAAATAAAGGATTGTGCAACGCTCCTAGCTTAGAGTGAGAGCAACATCTTCCCTCATTGCTCCACTGAGTTTCATACCTAAGAGCTCGTTTATTGCTCCAAGACTCTGTGTTGACACACCTCAGATTCTGATTTTTAGGTGAAGCTTCCTCATCTTTTACCTTTACTGATCCATGCAGAAATGCAAGCTGGTTAGAAAATGGTTTGATCGATCTATGTAAAAACAAAAACTGAAACAAACAAATGAACACCAAAACAGAAACAAAAACAAACTAAAGAACCCAAAGTAAATCAAAAAAGCCCCAACCCTGAGACAAAGATTCTACCTACAAACAGATTGGCTTCCAAATAATGCCTGAATCATTTATTTAGCCCAACCATGACATTGGTTTGGATGTCCCCAGGTGAAGGTCACACACATTCCTTAGCTGTGACCTGGGAATTAGCAAATTCCACATGAGGGAGCTACTTCGTAGATGGGGGCGGATCAGCACATCAAGCCCAACTGCAATGGGACCAAGGCATAGATCTTGCACTCCTCTGACCTCTGTCCTACCCTGTCCCTTGCCATGAAAGCAGTACCCTTCAGGTGACCACTGCCTGGTGCCAGGGCATGGAGTCGGGCCAGCAGCCTGAGTAGCTCCCAAGGAACCAGCCTTCTGCAAGAGGGAAAGGGAAATTTCCCCTGTAGGTTCTAACGTAGCAAGGAGGGGACCACAGTGGAAAGGAGAGCACGGAGAAGCAGATCCTTCTTTTGCTCATAGTGCAAATGCTGGCCCAACGAGCATTTGTCCTGTGGCCAACAGGTTTAGGTAATAGGTAGTAGAGAGAATTAGAGCTGAGTTAATAAGAATTGAACTGCCTGCTACCTTGTTTTCTCTAACAGCCGTTAGGACGGCTCTTCTGTCTTTAGGTCTCTCAAGGCAACCAAAGTAATGGTTGGGTGAATTTGTTATTGACTTGAGTTTTACTGTTTCAAAATGCACAGGGCATTTGAAACCCCTAAATTGAAAGGTGAATAGTTCCTATACACTTAGATTCCTGAAAACCAACAAATAGTTTCCCCTCACTCACCCAAAATCCAAGTTTTGCCCTGAAAATCTGTGTAGATACCAATATTAATGGTTAATTAACATTTTGTGCTCCTTCAAGGTCTCCAGATCTCAAGGTGTTTTTTTTCAAAGTAGCAGCTGTAAGGTAACTCTCTGGGGAGGAACAGCAAGAGTGAAACAGCGTTTGCCAATACCGCAAGCGTGCGAGGCAGACAGTGAATTGCCTGTTTAAAAAGGTGAATCAGAAGAGCGTAATTACCAAAGCAAAAGCTTAATTAGGGTCACGGGATCAGTTCTTCACTGCGCACTTGCAGGAAGACGGTAAGGGACTTCCTTTTTCTACCTCAAGCGAAAAAAGAGCACTTAATAGCATAGTGCTACTTAACACTGTTTTGGGAATTGGCTCTGTAGTGGTTCACGAAGAAGTAGGCTGCTTGTTTTATTGGTGCCGCTCTCGGTGGCACCACGAGGTATCGTAGCACATCCCACGCGCTTTGCTTGGCTTACCAAGGCAGTAAGCCTGGAGGCTTCCAGATCAATCCAGGCAACAGTTTAAATTAAAACAAGACCTCAAATCGGCAACAGACAGCATAGGAAAAAACTCAGATACATAAGACAGTCAAGTATTGGGAAATCGTCTCTCTGCCAAGATCTGATTTCGGAGATGTTACAAAAGCCCCCAAGAGCGGATGGTGTTGGCAATGAGCAGCAATTCTCTCTTGTAAGAGTAACTTGGAGTCTTGTCCATAGATCCCAACAGGTAACTAAAGATTTAGCACCAGCTTATCCTTAAAGTGTGAATGGATGTGTGGTCTTTGGAGTCTTCTCACCCTTCTTTTCCTTTCAGGAGGGAGAAAGTCACTTCTGCAAAGCTCTGGGATGCAAAACCTTTTCACTGCTTTCATGTGATTTAAATTTTGAGGGCTCTGATGTGAAATGTTTAACACAGCTCGTTGTACAGCAGTCAGCTTTGGATATAGAAATGTTCAGTGAGAGCTTTACTTTGTGAATTTAAAATCCTCCCAAGTAAGCTTGAAGGAAAGAGAAAGAACTCAGAAACTGGCAGAAATTGACTTTATTTTAGAAAATGCAGGCAGCCCCCTTTTTTTTTTCTTATAACCTCAGAAGAGTGAGCAGAAACAACTGTTTTGTCTTTCAGATGACACCTTGCTGCTGCAAGCGCTTGCCTCACGCGTGCAATTCCTCAGCGGCCAAGCCTTGCTGGAAGTCACAGAACGTCTCTCAGGTATTGCCTGCTTTAGCTAACCTCCACTTCGAAGTCAAGGAATCTTCAGAGGCAGTGTTTAGAGGAAATGCCTCTGAATAGAAAGTGCTCATCAAACACCAGAAGGTGCTGAGCTTGTCCTTCCTGCAAATGCACATACTGGGTGTGTTTGGCAGGGGTTTGCCTGGCTGCGGAGGTGCTCGGGCTGCGGTGCTGAGCTGGCACTGGGGCATCTCAGGACCCGCCCCCAGAAAAGAGAGGGGCTAAAAATACCCTGGCTGACTCCTCTCTTTGAAGGACAGTACAGTAAAGGTCATGGAGGTTTGCTAGAGGTCCCTTTTCAAAAGAAAATTACCATCCTGTAGAAAATAATTGGAATTTTATGGAATTTATGGAATTTATTTATTTATTCAATTGGAATTGAATGCGGAAACTGGTATTCCTGAGGATCAGGATTCTTGTTTTCCTGTTGGAAACCTCTGAGGCTGAATCCTGCAGAACCTGGGGATCATAGCATAGGTGAAAACTCAACACATATATTATAGGCAAGGATTTTCTGCAAGGCAGGATTTGGGGGCTGGGGGGCAGAAGCGGACAGTTCACCCTAACGCACTGAGGCTCCCTGCTTCTGTTGCGGACATGACCTTGGACTCTGAGCATTTCAGGATGTGCAAACAATCTATTCCTATATCAGCGGTGTCCAACACACTGCAAATGATAACTGATTTATAATAGGAGCATGCTGTGTCAGCAGTAGCCAGGGAAAGGAAAAAAGATATAATCTCAATATACACTGGAGAAGTCTATTTATAGCCTTGCTTTAATTAGGGCTAAATCCACTGTTAATTATGCCAGCATCTTCTAATCCAAGGTTTAATACACTTTGCTTCTTCATTGTGAATCTCAAAAGGGCATGTTTAGCAGTAGTGAATGTAAAAGGGCCTTTAAAGATAATTTGAATAAAGTAAATCTCCGTAAACATAGAATTTAGTTTTACAGTTATTTTAATCTCTTTTTCAAATAAAGCATTTGAACATAAATTGGGACTACTTTAGAGAGAGCAGATGTTCTCGCTGGGATTTAGTGGGAACAGACAGCTCTTTCTCTTCTGAAGCTCCATAGTGACCGCTGTATTTAATAGCATTTAAACTCAAATCGACTCCTGTTTTAAAGTAGGAACCTTATCCCTTTTCCTGCTTACCAGAACTGGTTTTAGGTACTTTCAGGAGATGTTTAAATGTTGATGACCGATGCTAGATTAACAGTGTAGAGAAAATGAATGTCCTTCCACTGCAGAATAATAAATGGTTACTGCATAACATTTCCGCTGAAGAGAAAATAAGAACTCTGTCTCCAGACCATTTCAGATTTTGATCTCTCAGCAAAATTTGTCATGCAAGGAGCCTATTGGTAGTAAATTTTTGTTTGTATTTAATGTAGTTCAGTTGAGAAAATGAGCTGAGAGCAGACTTCAGAGAGAATGAGAGGGAATGTTTGGATTTTGGTTAAATTTCACACCCCCCCTGGAATATTTTTCTATCTGCATTCCCCTATTTCAGGGAACAATGTAAGAGTAAATGCCATTAAACTTGTGAGATGCTCAAATTCCGTGGCAATGAGGTCTGGGTAATTATCTAAGACATCCTGAAGTTTGAAACAGCTGTTCATTAGAAGGCACTGAGTAAGAGGGGGGAAAAAACTCAAATTAGACCATTCTGCCAAAGACATCAGTTAGTCACTGTTGTTTCTAATAAAACTGTCGAGCAGCACACATCTTTACTGGGCTGGAGTTTGAAGTGTGGTATAATACTGCTGTTTGCTCTGTGCCACTCAGCAAAGGGAACTGCCAGATTGGACTTTTGGCATTTTTCATCAAAGGTCACAAAAAAGTAATCCTCCTTTTTATTAGAAATCTTTCAATTACTTCTCTAAGTTCCATTTCAAAACCTTCAGCAGCTGTTTTAGACAACTTCTTAATGGAAATAAACAGCAATTTTACATTTTTGTCATTTGTAACGCAGAAGAGGATCGTGAAATGATTTACAAAATGGGTGTGATTCACTTTGCTAAGTCTGTCATGGACACAATGTCTTTGATTTGGAGGAACTAAGGTATTCAGAGGTTGGTTGTTCTCTTTGGTGGATGATCAGTCACTGTTGCCTGTTTCTGGATCATTGGGCTCCTTGTGCTTGCTGATATTAGCCAGAAGAGGTTTCCAAGAGCCGAAAATAAAGGTAGACACTTGTTTGCATTAAGGTTTTGAAGAAGCTTGTCTCTCTTTCCTGGCAGTGCTTGTGGCATCTGTTTATCCCCGGAGACCCCAAGCTGTCAAGCACTACGCCCTGCCTGTGCTCTGGTTCCTCCTGGGAAAGAATGTCCTGCCTATCGGAAGCGGCAACATCAAGGCTGTGATCACCAAGCTTGCAAAGAGCCTCTACGACATGATGGGCCCCGAGCTGAAGAACCATGCCACCAGCCAGCCTCTAGATGTGGCAACAAACTTCTTTGGCATTTTGAACCTAAATGTCAGGTGAAGACTTGGTGTGCTCCAGGAAGCTGAGGGAAGGTATTGAATGGGACAGGAGGAGGGAAGGGTGCGATGGAGTGGTGGCATTGGTCTTATTCTTTGTGTTTGAAGAATGGGATTTACCCTATAGGTATATGTTCTATATTTAGAGGCAGGCTTCTTCAAACACTAATAAAAAATAAAAGTATTTTCCGGAAGTTTTCTATCTTAAGCTCATGTTTCCTAAGATCGGTGGAGTTATCGGAGGTGCTGCTCAGTGTGTATTCCAGCATACGCTGCAGGTGCCAACCTACCAGGTGGCCCCTTTACAAGGCTCTGGTAGCTGCTGATGCAATGGCAGATAACTGAGATGTCCAGGTCAAGTTCCAAGGACCCCCAAGTCACAAGACAGCAGAAATCTCCCCAGCTTCACTGAAATTTTCATCCCATTTCAGGGGATGCATCTTGTCTGTAGTCCCCTGTGCAATGGACCGATGTGGCGAGGTAGCTGGTGCCATATGCCTGCCTCCAGAACCTTGGGATGGGCAGGATGGGAGGATCTGGGCGGGGGGCTGTGCTGCCTTGCAGGGGTGCCAGGCAGTGAGTGGGCTGAGGGTGTTCTACAGAAGCTGGGGAGAGATAAGCTGTGGGCAGGCATCATGGGATAAGGTATATTTAGAAAAAAAAAGTGTAAGTTTTCTAAATGTCTTTTTTTCCTGTCTTTGAGAAGTGAAGGGTTTGCTTATGTGTGGGGCCAACAAAGCAGTTCTGAGCCTGAGAATCAGGAAACAGGATGAGGAAGGGATGTGCCAGTCCTTCATCCTACAACGGTTTGGAAGCACGAGGGGAGAAATGATGAGAGAAGAGAAGAAGGGCTGAAAGCAGCAGATGTTGGGGCATCTGTAGAGTCAGGTATGAAACCAGAGCAGCCTGATCTACGTTCATATAATCCTCAATATACTGGTGGGATTTTGAAAGAAAGAGAAATGGAATTTTCCTTTCCTCTTAAGGAATCTTTTTAATACAGAACTAAAATGGCAAAATTATTTAGTAGACCCTTCTGAAATGTGGGCTGTTTTTGCTGCTGATTTTTGTTTTTAACTCCCAACTTTTGGTAGCAGGGAGGGCTCAGGAACTCATCTCTCTGAAGTCTTGGCACGTGATCTAGGCCAGAGGCCTGGCTCTGAAACACGTGTGTGTGTGTGGACATCCTGCAGATCCTGGTGGAAGCCATAGTCCTTGCAGATCTGCTAGAGCAACCTGGAGTTTAGCATCTCGGGAAATGTTGCTAACAGCTTACCGGAAACAGGAGCAGCCTGGTCGCGTGCGGTTGTTTTGCGGGTGGGACAGGGCTCCGCAGAGTACACGTGTGCGCCCAAATGCTCAGGGTGAGATGCTGGAGAATGCTAGAGGGTGGCTGAGTTTGAACAGCAGATCTTGACCTATGTCACTTCATTGAGCACCTGCAGTTTGCTACTGCCCGAGATCTACTTTAACAGACAAATGTTTATTTTTTTGGTGGTTAGCGTCTCTAGAGTGCCTCCTGGTTTTCTTCCTCTACCTCAAAAGTTGTTCTTGTTGTGTCGCTCTGTGGATCTCTCCCTCCAGAGCCCTGTAAATGCTGCTTTGCACAGGCTGCTTTTGCTGGGCTGAATAAAAGCCCTTTAGTTGTACTTTCTCTTTGGCTGTTCTTGGGCCCTTGGGAATGTGGGGGCAAGTTTCTGCACTTGGGAGATAAAAAGCCTTTGTGCACATGATGTGAGGCCTCCCAGAGCCTGGCTTTATGCATTTAGTTGTAGCACTTGCAAAGTAGGTTTGAAAAGTGACCCAGGTGACTTGGCATCTTAACTCTAATGGCCTCGGGTGGTGCTTTCATGCATGCTGCTCCCCACAGTCAGGAGATTGCAGCATTGCCTGCGGGTTCCTGTTTTCTGTCTAGGTGTTTTTTTTTTTTTAGCTCTCCAGCTGGGACACTTTCCCCATGAGAGGGGCACTCCTACCACAGCGTGATCACAGGTAGCTGACAGCGTGACTGTCTGTCATGACATGCAGAGGGATTAATGAGTAGGGTTAATTCAGCACGGGTGGGGTCTCCTGCCGCAGGTTTGCACACATGCACATCTCCGAGGTTATTAAGAAGCTACTAAGGTTTTTGGATGATACAAAAGGCAGAGCACTGTTGGACCTTCTTCCAGCACTGGTAAGAATTTAAATATTTAATTTTTCTAAGTTCTTCTTGTTAAAATTTTATTACAGAAGTCTCACCAGAGGAGATGGCAAGCTGCACTTGCAGGGCCAGTTTAATTCATTTAATTATTGCATTTAATGTGCAGTGCAGCTACACATTAACCCACAGAAGTTCTTATAGCAAAAGAAATGTATGGCAATCCTGTACGTTGGCGTACTCTTACCCTACCTCCTGCCAGAGCTCCAAGACAGACCTTGGCTGTGACCGATGGCTCCTCCTGCTTGCTGAAGGTAAGTGCTGTAGTTGTCAAGGGAAGGCGGAGGATAAAAGGTAACACAGCTTCTACCATGAAGGAGTGAAGAAAGCTTACATTCCCCTACAGAGTAGGAAGAAAGCAGTCCTGTGCCATCTTCCCCATGCAAGGGGGCATTGGAGCTCTGAAGTTGCATGAGCAGAGAGACTGGTTGGACTTGATGATAAAGATATTTTTGAACCTAGACAATTCTGTGGTGCTGTGTACTCCGAATCCAGACTGCAAAATCCACCATTTCCTCAAGTGGGCGTTTTCCACTCACCAAGAGTCATGTGCCTAGTGGCATGGTTCTTCTGCTATTCAGGGTGCTTGTGCCATGCAAGTGTGTTAGCTGGACTCTGAGTCTCCCCGTGGAACTGCAGCCACAAACCCCTTCAGGAATGTAAATAGATGAACTTGGCAGTGCCGAGAAGACTTTGGGGATGGGTGTGATATGGAAAAATGAATGGCAAATAGGGAGGATGACCAGGGAGTGAGGATGAGGAAGGAAGGATAAGTACAGTGCGGAGGCTGCTGTAAATAATGTCAATGCTGCCTTGTGGTGCTGCTGTGAAAGGCGGAGCAGAGAATTAAAGAATGGACCTGAAGGGACCCACTTTTGCAGAGATGCAGCTGGGTCATGGAGTGTAATAAGGTGATGATGGTAGAATTTGCTCTGGCCAAGGTTAAAGGTGGGCTTGGGAACCAGCTGCTGAAGTCCTTCTCTCAAGCGGAGGGAGGGGGACAGCACTGAGGTGGTTATTTTCATCCCTGTTAAATAGTGATGGAAATAAAAGTGGTTGCATTGCTACCAAATCTCTGACAGCTGACTCTGAATCCTGATACTGTGATACAGCCTTTGATACAGGCAGAGGTGAGAAAACCACTCTAGTTAAAATTAGAGCTGACCTGAGCCTTTAAGCCTCCACTCTGCCTTGGTATCTTTAGCTGAAAAAAAACAGTAACTTTGGCCAACAAACTGCCCCTGTGTATCCTTAAAAGCCCCCACAATGGTTTCTGAATGCAATTGGTGGTGGTAAAGAAGCCTGTAGAGCCTTGCTCTATGCTAATAGCTGAGCCCCAGGTAAAGGAAGGCTGTGCTAGTTTCACAGCCATCGAGTGTGTGTCACCTCTGCTGCGTTTCAGAGCAGAAAAGAAAAACTCTGTTCCCTTCAGAGACTGCTGTGAAGGCTGCAGGATCCGTAGGTCTGCCACTACCCACTGCGGGGCCTTGAAAGGACATACGTGCCCAGCAACTGGCATTGCATTTAAGCCCAGTCTCTCAGGCACAGCCTGGAATTTCATGTCCCTTGTGTTGCTGCTCCAACTTCCTCTCCACAGAAGAGGGATGCACACGTTTCTATACGCACCCGTCTACGTGTGGAGACACGTCCTCTACACAATAGTCCTCCTCTGTGTATACTGTCAGTGCGTATAATACATTAGGCTGTAAAACTGCTCAGTGTTGACACATTTCTGTCAGTGCAAATATTCCAGTAGTAGTACATGTTATTTCAGGAAGGGAAATTGGCTGTACTCATCAGATGACTTTTATACGGATGTAATTGTGCCGGCACTAGGGTCTCTATTGCTCTGACTGCCGCATTATTCTGGCAGTATTTTATTTTTGGTATCATCCAGTGCAAACAAAACATGCTCCTGTTTCCCCAGGGGAGAGCCGCCCCCCGGCCCATCAGCGTGACAGCTCCGGTGGGTGCAGCTGTGGGATCTCCCTGAGTCGTCCTCCAGCTGCTGCAGGTACAGCTCTTTCATTCTCCAGTGACCCTGCAGTTAATACTCCGTTTGAAGGTAATGGTAACAGCGTGCCCCTCCTTCTGGCCCTGCCCAAGGCTGATAGTAGTGCACATCTCACACCTGTGAGAAGCTTTTTTTTCCCCAAACTTGCAGATTCCACTTGTCCCAGTAAGTGTTGAGCTAAAATCTTCCTCAGTGCAATTCCAATATGGAATAAATCTGTCCCACCACATCCTTTCCTCACTGTCCCTCTCCTCTGCTTCCCCTTCTGCCATGACCTCTTTGTGTCATCTGCTGATGCTATTGATTATTTGGCATTACAGTGGTGCCATTTATTTACACGTTTGGGGAAAGTGTACCCAAAATGTTCTGTACCGAATAAAGTTTTCTAACTAGATGTAGTCTGTGTTCACAGTAGACCTGGGCAAAGAAATTTTGACCCAAATCCCAAAGCTTTCCACATTTGCAATCCAAGTAATTTCTGGCTTGTTGCTGTCCTCAGTCACAATTTTATAGGTAAGAGGAGGATACGTATTTCCCTGGAAGAGGTGCAGTGCTTCTGAAAAGGTGTACATATGTATATTTACCCGGGGCAGCAGTCAAGCAGTGTTGTTTGTAACTTGTTTGCAGAAGGATGAGTTAACCATGAGGCCAGTAACAGGTGAGAAGGGTTTCTCAAGTCTATTTATACTCCAGCCTGGGTGCCATTCAGCCCAGAGCTATGTGATAATTTATTGCCATGGGCCAGTGCTTGCCAGCGTAATGAATTCCTGCTTAGCTGGAACAAGCACTT